ACGACAAACCCATTCAAAAATGTGGGGGAGATCCACAAAGAGTGGACTGCAGCTGGAGTCAGCGCTTCAAGAACCACCACGAGGAGACTCATGAAAGACATGGGATTCAGGTGTCGCATTCCGTGTGTCAAGCCACTCTTGAACAAGAAACAGCGCAAGAAGCGTCTCGCCTGGGCCAAGGACAAAAAGGACTGGACTGATGCTGAGTGGTCCAAAGTTATGTTTTCTGATGAAAGCAAGTTCTGCATTTCCTTTGGAAATCAAGGACCCAGAGTCTGGAGGAAGAGCGGAGAAGCACAGAATCCACGTTGCATGAGGTCCAGTGTAAAGTTTCCACCGTCAGTGATGGTGTGGGGTGCCATGTCATCTGCCGGTGTTGGCCCACTCTGTTTCCTGAGGTCCAGGGTCAATGCAGCCGTCTACCAGGAAGTTTTAGAGCACTTCATGCTTCCTGCTGCTGACCAACTTTATGGGGATGCAGACTTCACCTTTCAACAGGACTTGGCACCTGCACACAGTGCCAAAACCACCAGCACCTGGTTCAAGGACCATGGTATCCCTGTCCTTGATTGGCCAGCAAACTCGCCTGACCTTAACCCCATAGAAAATCTATGGGGTATTGTGAAGCGGAGGATGCAATACGCTAGACCCAACAATGCAGAGGAGCTGAAGACGACTATCAGAGCAACCTGGGCTCTCATAACACCTGAGCAGTGCCACAGACTGATCGAGTCCATGCCACGCCGCATTACTGCAGTTATTGAGGCAAAAGGAGCCCCGACTAAGTATTGAGTGCTATACATGCACATTCTTTTCATGTTCATTCTTTTCAGTTGGCCAACATTAGAGAAACAAACATTTTTTCATTGGCCTTTAGAATATTCTAATTTTCTGAGATACCAGATTTGATGTTTTCATTAGTTGTCACTTATGAATATCAAATTTAAATGTAATGAACATTGGAAATACATTGGTCTGTGTGCATTGCATGAATATAATGTACAAGTTTCACGTTTTGAATGGAATTACTGAAATATTTTCAACCTTTTGATGATATTCTAATTTACTGGCCAGCACCTGTATGTATGTATGTATGTATGTATGTATGTATGTATGTATGTATGTATGTATGTATGTATGTATGTATGTATGTATGTATGTATGGATGGATGGATGGATGGATGGATGTATGTATGTATGTATGTATGTATGTATGTATGTATGTATGGATGGATGGATGGATGGATTTATGTATGTATGTATGTATGGATGGATGGATGGATGGATGGATGGATGGATGGATGTATGGATGGATGGATGGATGGATGGGTGGGTGGGTGGGTGGATGGGTGGATGGATGGATGGGTGGATGGATGTAACGATTTCCACACTGAGAGTCTGTCATTGCTGGAGTGAATCAGCTTCTTGTGGATGGTGCGTTCGTGGACCTAAAAAAAATAGCCAGTTGAAAATGTTCTCAGGTGAAAAACAGTTTAGATTTAGAATTTTTGAATTGGCCGATTCTGATCACCATCCGAGTCTTCATCTCAAGAACAAATGCATTAAAACCTAACATCTGTTTTAATCCAATAATATGTTTCAGCCGACTTTCGCCTGCTGCGACATCAGATGTGGGCTCATTTTCAGTCAAAATTACTTAATTGTTGCCATTTCTGTGTTTTCTACAGTTGATGAGCTGTGGTGGCCATCTTGAACTGGATTGACTTCTAAATGTAGATGTATCTTTCCAGGGTTCTGCTAAATATTTTCTAATGGTTTAAATTTTTATTTTATTTTACAAACACATTCTAACAGGCAAACAAATCATAATATGACTGTTTTTGGCCGCGGTTCCATATATGTACTTATTTTTTACTCCTAAACTCATGTGCTTTGAGTTTGTGCATTCGTACCACTTTTACTTCACCAACCACACAAAACAGTTGTTACATTTTATAGAAAAATACCAACTTAGTACACTAAAGTTGACAAAAAAAAACTATTTGATAGAAACTACAGGTTCTCAGATGAAGGACGTTGAATAAATGTCCAAACGGGTTGCCATACTTATCGTCATACTCCTGTATTTGGACTGCTTTTTAAATGTATTTTAACCAGGTGTTCTGTTTGTGTTTTACAGATTAAACTACATATACTGAGGCATTTCGTTGCAAAAACATTTTCTAAGTACTTCTAAAGTGGAATCCTTCACAATAAGAGTCTCAAACACACATGCTTACCTCAGAACATCTGACTAGTTTATTAATACTCATCTCCATATGAGTTTTATTGGAGAACATAAATAATGATTTATTTTATAAAGCTGCAGGTGCGAATGTTTAAGACTCTTATTTTGAAGGACAAAATGAGGTTCTCAGAGTTCCGCTCTAGACTCAGGAAAGTAGCAACAGGTTGTTCATCGTATCAAAAAATGCTCATTGTTTATAGATTATCTTGTTAAACCCCAGTTTAAAATGAAAATAAATTAAAAAAACAGTATTCAGGAGTAGTTTGAAATGGCGTATTTGTAACTTTTTAAACTATTTTCTCAACATTTTAATTAGGGATGCAATGATACCACATTTTCAAAAACCGATACTTAGATCTGAGTACTCGCCGATACCGATTACCGATACCGATACTTCTACCACACACAAAAAATTGCAATGATTTGGAATACAGATTTTATTTTCTTCTCTGCGTTCAACAGGAAAAGACTGTGAGGTAGATAAAAAGTAAAATATATGAATAGAAATCATCACAAAACTAAAATATTAGGTGAAAGGAAATGACAAGTTACAGTGAAGCCATTTTCAAGTAACTGCATTGTAATCGGTTCCTGGTATCGGTTAACTTTTACCGATACCGATACAAGTATCGTATCGGTATCTGTATCATCCCTAATTTTAATCTCAACACTGTTTTTGCTGAACGTAGCACAAACGTTCCTCGGTAGCAATTAGGATTTGAATCCATAAATTATTAATCCAGGAAAGAAGACAAGCAGAAGCAGCAGCAATTCCAATATGTGTCAAACAAATGTAACTACAGGGCCAGAGTGGTCTGTGACTAGATGAGCTGGTGCTCTAGTCAGATCATGAGACATCGAGGAGAAACTGCCTGAGACCCGAGTCTCCAACCAGAAGGGAGCACCTCTAACAGATTGTCTGGGATGAGAGGGAGCTGCTATAATCTCAGTTGCCCACTTCCTGGTCCTGGAGTTAGGGCAGATTACTCCCTGGATTACATTTTATATTTTACTGCAGATCTAATCAGCCCCCTGGAAGTTGTCCTTCATCAAAGACACTGTTTTGAATAAATTCAGCTACAAACCTTTTTGAAATAGCTTCACTTTGCTGTTTCGGAAGGGCTTCATGGCAGTTTTACAGAAAAGCTGTTTTACAGTGTAGATTTAATCTGGGGGACGTGAATGTCCTGCTGTCCAGCTACCGTTTAGAATGTAGACTGTAACGCATCAGCAGCAGAATTATAGCTGAAAATATAAAATACATAAATAAAAGCTCCGAACACAAACATGCACAGTGGACGTGTTGCTTCAGACTAATATTTGGTCATGTCAGGAGCAGAGTAGGTTAGCCTTAGACTTCAGTGTGAGGCTGCGGGGGTGACATGGTGAATACTGTAACAAGGAATGAATTAATGAGGGTGAATCCAGCAGTTTATTTCAAACAGAACACTTCACACAGTTGCATCAGCAGAGGTGTATGCATAGACTTTCACTCTAAAAATATTTCACACACATGTGATTTAAAATCTTACTATTTTTTCATAAACTCACACATATTTCTGACAAATTCTTTCATTTAATTGGATCTTTAGTCTTTTGTTTCTTCTCTTGATTGATTCGTTCCACACGGGTGTAGGGAAAAGGTCTGAAGTCGAAACCAAAACTGCACTGAACACTACGACACTGTCCACGACCGACACTATGGCTGCATTCAGAGGGTCCGAACAACAGATTTATCAAAGCAAACAAATGCAGAGTCAAGAAATGGTGATTCAGCAGCAGAAGAGAAGAGATGAAGGCAGACGCTTTGGGTTTTTCTTCTAGAATTTAGAGGAAAAATATCAACACATGAACATTTAAGCCTGAATCCAGATGTTAATTATATTTGGGTGGTTTTCCTTCCGAACACGCCCATGCTGGGTCCCAGCAGTCCCATTAACGAGCAAATTTAACGATGCAAAAGCTCCAGCGGGGCAGTGCGGTGCGGGCCTTTCACATTCGTCAATCGGGGACTCGGTCCAGCTCGAGGATGCGGTCCTCTGTGCCGGGACGTGGAGGGGACGAGTCTGTCATCACATGTTCTTATACATGGAGCGATCTCTGGGGATCTGCGGCTGATTGGCTGTCAGCTTCAGATGGAAGTGGTAGATGGTGAGCATGATGACGATTGCAAGGCCCAGGATGACGCCCAGGATGAGAGGGAGGATCTCCTCCAGATGCTCTCGCTGGTCAGTGATGCACTTGTAGGCTGCAAACAGAGGAAAGAAGTGACAACAGTGAATTTTTTTGGCAGATTCTGTATCTGAAAAGAAGGGGAAGAGTTTTTAGTCTCAGATTTAAAGTTCTGAAACTCAAATGTGAACACTGAGTTGGAAAACGGAGGAGAATGTGAGGTTTTCTCTGATTTTAAACCTTTTTCTTGTGTTTTGTGAATTAGAAGCTGTGATGGATTAGGAGGACAACGCAACCTCAGCAGGCTATAGGGGACGGCGTGTAGGTGTCTGTCCTTGTGGACGGCTGTAATAATCAGAGGAAGGCTGCAGAGTTTACAGCCTGGTTCCTCCAAGGTGGATGTTTCTGTAAAAGATGTATTCAGGGCAGATAGAGCCACGCTCGTAAAATCCTAATGGTCCCAGCCCCTTTCTCTTTATGCACCCCCCCCCCCCCCAGACTGCAGCTGTAACCTCCCCTTAGACAGGCACAAAGAGATGTAGGCTACAGCTCACCCCCCAGGAGTTCTCATTACCGTCATCATCTGTTTCTCCTACAGTGAGAAGGAAATAGGTGCAGTGTGGTGCACGTGCGTGCGTGTGCGTGCATGTGTGTGTGTGTTGTCTTACTAGAGCTGAACACAAAGTCTGAGGCGATGTCAAAAGGCTGGATCTGGATGTCGTACATGGAGAACGTGACGCCCTTCTGGTGGTCGCTGGAGATGAGGGTGATGGTCTGCTGAGCCGTGCACACATAGGACCGCCCTGCGGGGGTCACCAGGACCGAGAGCCGGTGGGTACTGGCTGTGTGCTTCCCAGCTGGGGGGACAAAACGACATATTTTGAACAGAAAAGATGGATTTGCTGTGGTGATTTAAGGTTTCCATGGCTATCTGCTTCATTTGGTCAAATTTCAGGTTAAAATCCGGGTGATGCCTGATGTGGACGCAACAACAATATGACAAAATAACGATGAGCCTATTAAAACTCGAACTGTATTAGAAATAATGAAACTAATATAATTGATCTGGATTAATCCAGCTGTTATAGAGGATTAGCATGAAAAGGTCTGAATGGCTGAAGGTGAAGCCAGATGCTGCTGATCGGACACACTCACGGTTGTACGCGTTGATGAAGTGTGACGTCTCCGAGGTGTCGTACACGAACTGGACTTTACTGATCTTCCACACCTCAATGCCCTTCTCACGGAACTCCTGCAACACACGCGCGCGTGCACGCGCACACTCATTTATATAAAGACTCCCTGCGCCGAAATGAATCTTTGGGGTCATTTTTGGCGCAGATGAACTTGCCGCCCACCTTTGAGAAGTAGATGCGGAGGACGTAAGCGTTGTTCTTCCAGGAGATGTGGATTTCTGACTCGGTGCTCCCGCATTTCCCCTCGATTTCAGCATTTCGGGGCAGAGTGAAGGACGCCTGCTCCGTGATCAACTGTGGCAAGAGATCCAGATTTTTTATTAGACAGATTACGCACTGGATTGTGTGAGAAAAAAAACATTTTTGTTATTTTTAAGGGAAAATGAAGCTGAAGAAATATTGCCCCGGTAGCAGTATTTGTATAAATCCACAATCTGAGGATTTACGTAGCGCGTTTTGTCTTTATTAGTTTTTCATGCGAAGTTTAAATTACTAATCCAAGATGTGTTTATCATTTCTGGATACAATATGATTATATTGTAAGTATTTAATTCAGAAAACATGAAACAAATCAATTAAATAAGTAATCGTTCTACACCGTTTTCTGCACGGGTGCGTTTTTACGCTATTTTTCAACGAATCAACCCCCAAATTTCACTTTAGCATCTGTCCCCCCTCTTTATTTCATTCGAAGCATTAACATGCACGAGGGGGGTTCCCTTACGTCTATTCCGTTGAGCGCGAGCACGTCATATGGCACGAGGAATTTGGCGGCGAACTCCACCATCAAGCACGTCGTGCCGTTCTCCCGGACCGCGAAGATGGCTTTGTCCGGGTTGTTGGAGAGCCCCGACAGGTTCTCCCCCTCCTGCTCCGCCTGGAGCACCGCGGACAGAATCAGAACACCTGCCAGAGCAGAACACACACACACGGGGGTTTCTCTTACACGCCTCTAAAAATATGCAGAATCAGCACGTTCCATTGAGGACTGATTGTCAAACATGGACTCTCACATCTTTAAAAAGAAGTCATAATTTTGTGAAAGCTACTGACCAGAGGACAACTTTTCATCCCTCACAAAGAGAAAATGTGCCAACTCATGAAAATCTAGCAACACGCACGTAGTAGGCTCGTGCGCGTGCACGTATACAGACTGCAGTATGAAGTCACGACAACTGCACGCACACAAACTCACACAGATGTTCGCGCGCTTACCAAACACACCGAGCAACAGAAGTCGGGCGCTCTCCTTGGTGCTGAATCCGAGCCGTCCCATTGCTACCAGCTTCCCCGGTGCTGGGAACAAATAGAGGGGCACTGGGCAGCTTGTTCCGAACCCGCGAAAGGAGCAGAGAGAAGGACAGGCAGGGAGGGGAGGCGGTGAGAAAGAAAGGGAGGGGGAGAGAAAGCCGGAGAGAGGAGAATTCCTCTTCTTAGCGCCAAAAAGTCATTGCGTAAAAATGAAAAGTATCCAGGCTGGGTGTGAGGTCCCAGTTTGCGCTGCAGAATCTGATGTAGCCTCAGCAGCTGATGAGCTGGAATGGTGAAGGTTTGGAGGGAGACACCGACACCCCTTCTCTCTCCTCAAAACCTTACCCCCTTCCCACACAGCCCTCTTCCGCATTAAAAGCATGTCTCAGTTATGCTGACAAATATATATTTTGAAAAAATAAATAAACATCATAAATAGCTAAACATCATAAACAGTTGTGAGCGTTTGGGGTGATTTTGTGCACGAGATCGTTTAAAACCATCTCCACAAATGGCTCAGCCCACTTTACGCACAGCCTCCTGTCACTCAGTTTGTTTTCCTGCTAACACAGTCAAACGCGCACTCGACGGAGCTGATGCTGCTGATGCTGGGTGTGCTGTCCACCTGTGGATGTTTGGCGGCTTGGGGAAAAGTTTCAGATCTCGGGATCCGACTGGACATCAGCACCGGATCTCTGACGTTCTTCTTAAATTCAGGGGAGGTGAATCTGCGAAAGAGTTTGTTGCTGAACGTTGAGAAGGTTCTGGCAGAAGAGGCAGTTGCTGCTGCGCTGAAAGGAGGTGCGGCCACCTCTTCGCGTCTCACCAATCTGGTTTTACGCACGGGCACCAGAGTGCGCTCTGGGGGCGCGGGGATGAGCACACTGGTTGGCAGACTGCATCTTTTCCTGTAGTAGCTGTCGTTTAGTTTACTCAGACAGAAAGATTTCTCTTTCCATCTGTCGGGCTCGTTTTTATCTGGAGGGATGGGGGTCAGAAGCACTCCCAGCGCTGATGACGCGCTGGGCTTTGTCCGGTTTCCCTTGGCTTGTGGGGAGAAGGAAATTGGCGGTAAAAGTTCAGTTTTGAGTTGCTGCGAGGTTTGGCTGTAAGTCCGAGACGGAGAGGCAGGAGTGAGTTCTCCTGAGAAGAGCAGGTCCCTGAATGACTCGCGCTCACCTCCAAACTCATCTACGGAGTTGATGGATCGCAGCCGGTACTGCTTCACCTGAGGTCTCGGTTGCCAGGCAGCGTTCTGGACGATTAGAGGACGATCACGCGTTTGAATGGCATCTAGTTTACTCGTTAAGTCGCCAATTTTACCTTCAAAATCAGCACACAGCAGCGGCTGTGCGTTTCCCTGAACGCCCCCGTCTGCATCGCGCGTCCTGTTGGAGAAGTTCGTGAGCGCAAAGACGCATTCTGTGTGACCCAGGAACTTTGCCACGCTGATAGCTGAGTTTCCAGCTTGGTTTCGTCTGTGGATCCCAAGCCCCAGCCTCTTGAATGCTCTCACCAGAAACTCCACGACGCGGGAGTGTCCTGCAGCAGCGGCGTACATCAGCGCCGTGTTCCCCCACGAGTCCCCGATCTCTGGATCTGCGTTGTTCCGGACCAGGATCTTCACAGTGTCCAGGTGGCCCCTCTCACAGGCGTAACTGAGCGCAGAGCGCCCGCTCCCGTCCTGGTAGTTGACCCTAGCTCCTTTCTGCAGGAGAAGCTCTACAAACTTCTCCCGGGTGTGGTCATCAGGCAGTAGGATGGAAGAAATCAGAGGGGTGAGCGCGCCATCTGTTCGGGAGTCCACGATTCCTCCATCCAGCGCGTCCAAAACAAACCTGGCCAGGTGGACTTGATCCTTGGACATCGCGTCCAGGAGGAACTTGGTGCCTGTCTGCTCATCCGCCCTGGTTTTGAACATATTTTTTGACAAGGTTCAGGGATTTAAACTTGAAAATTGCACCACCTGGTCCGTGCTGGAAATAAACCCCTCTCCTTGTTATATAGAGCAGCAGAAAGGATGCAATGGGGTTGCCAGGCAACGCTAACACAATCACCACACTTTGTTCTCCTTTATAATGGAAATAGCTTGTTTATAATAACAAAAAAGGAGCTTCAGCAGAGCCGCATAATGTCCAAAGAGCCTCATATCAATTGTGAAATTGTGTCTGCCCTGTCGGTGATTTCTTCAGGTGTCATTTAGATTTTTTTGGGTCAAAGTTACATGTTTTAGATCAACAGACACACAGAAAGGCAACAATAACCTAAGTAAAAATAAAAAGTAGTTAGAAGTGCCTTGATGTCGGCCCAGTTACAAACATTATGGTTTTAAACATATTAAATTATGACCAGAATAAAAATCAATCTCTAGAAACAAAACACAAATGAGTCATGTCCCGTTTGACACCTGCATTTATTGATACACATACTATAAAACAGTATTAAAGGAGCTGGATAAGAACAGTTTTGTCAATGCTATAAGTCCAACAGTACAATATAAATACAAAAACACACACAGAACGTCTGTCGTCGACGAGCTACAGTTCAAATAGAAAACAACGAGGAGTTACGGTCCAAACAAAGGGAATCTGATCAGGTGTGTTCTGCAAAAATAATCTGCTTCTGGATAAACTCAAGAGCCAAAGGTTACATGGAATCACACAACAGAAACAACTAGTGCAAAAAAGCCTCTAACATATTCATTTTAATCTACACATTATCTAATATATATATATATATATATATATATATATATATATATATATATATATATATATATGTATGTATGTATACCTTCATACAAATAACCCCTTAATTTGGCATTTTGTCATTTGTAAAACAACTTAAACGTCCTATAAGAGACACTGCGCGGCACGTCTGAAAGCGATGGGATGAACTTTAAAAAGCACTTTTAATCATTTATTTCTACAGTAGATATGTGATGGTGAGAGATCGTGCTGTGTGTGTGTGTGTGTGTGTGTGTGTGTGTGTGTGTGTGGGGGGGGGGGGGGGGGGGGGCAGGAAAAAAATGATGGAAACAGGAAAAGACAGTGCTTGATCCTCCAGGATGACAGCAGTTCCCTCTGGAGACTCCACATCCATTAGCGCATTCAGAACAAGATCCTGTCTATACTCTTCTCCTGTGTTACTGCAGAATAAAGCAGCAATAATACATTAAATAAAAAGGTAAAAATACCCTCAAGTGCTTTTGTCCCCTTGCTATGAGGTTTAATGTCTTCTCTGTGATGTTGAGTTAGTTTGGTGTTTATGTTTTTGCATCATTTCTTTCTCTCCGGTGTTTTTTTTAGCTGACAATCATGGCTGCTGATGTTATTCATCCTATAGGTCAGGAAAAGCAAAGTGAGACGTAGTTGTACCAGATTTGATCAAGATTATTTTATAAATTCCTGGTCTGAAAGGGGAACTATGAGTAGCTGAGGTGCATAAAGTGCAGTCAAGAGCTCGATTTCGGTAAGCTTGAAGGGGTTTTCCTGCCATGTTTATGTGTGTTCTGGTGTAAAAGTTGTAAAAAAAAAGTGACTATTTCCTTTCCACAGTGGTGTATAAAGATCACACACACAAAAACAAAACAAAATGGGGACAGGTGAAATAAAAGCTGGTTATTTCAGTAGCTTTTTAAGCTACAAAGTGGAACCAAAGACTTACCCAGCATTAAGTTTAATACATTGTCTACATGAACTACGGTGAGTCATCATTTTTATCTTGAGAGGCGCTATGTAAAAGATTGTTTTCTTTCTTTCTTTTCTTTCATCAAATGTTTTAAAAAGGAAATGACTTTTTTAGATAAACAAAATCTGTAAATAACTTCTCAAAATTCTAGGCAACAGTTTCAGTTTTACGGGGGCACAATAATATAATAAAGTATTAAAAGAGCTTGAAATGTTTTAAGTCCTTCAGGACTGATGAGCTAACAGTACCTCCAAGCGCAAAGACCAAACTCTACAACAGTGGTTCCCAACCTTTTTCCCAAGGGACCCCGTTTTTTACCAGTAAAATTTTTGACGACCCCCTCCCATTCTCTCTTCCAGTACAAACAATATTAAGAAATGATAAAATTGTTCAAGCACATTTTAATATGTTTTGATTCAATAGATAACAGTAATAGTAGGCTCCAGTACAGAACAAAGCCATTAACAAAACCAAACAGAGCATAATGTGCTTGACAGTTTGTATTACTTTTCTGAACACATTGTTTCTTGTAAACACTGATAAATCAATCATTCCTTTCAATAAACGTTTGACACATAAAAAATACACTGAGCAAAATGTACTTAAATGTGTATATTACTGTTTATACTAGATTATTTACTGTAAAGGCTGTGATTAATCAACCAGTCCTATCTGTAATGAACTTTTGACACTTGAAAATAAAACAGTGAGCTGAGCAAAATGTTCTTAAAAGTGTGTTACGTTTTCTGTACTAATTATTTCCTGTCTTAATATCAGTAAACTTTTCACTCAAGAAAAAAAATGTGAGCACAATGTAGGCTATAAACAAGTAATAAATGAAGTTTTAACCCCTTAAAGTGGAGAGGTCCTGGCGACCCACTGAGGGGCTTTGGCGCCCCCTTGTGGGGGTCGGGACCCCCAGGTTAGGAACCACTGCTCTACAAAATGTTCTAATCCTCAAAATATCACAGTAGGCCATGTAGAAGTTATTTTTTGAAACCATTTCTGAATCTTTTTAAGGTTGGAGCTGCTCTCAGACTAGCCATTAGCTCGCAGAGTGGCTGCTAGCTCTCAAACTAGCCATTAGCTTGCAGAGTGGTTGGTAGCTCTCAGACTAGCAGTTAGCTCGCAGACTAGCTATTAGTTATCAGAGTGGCGGTTAGCTCTCAGACTAACTGTTAGCTCGCAGAGGGGCTGTTAGATCTCAGACTAGCCGTTAGCTCGCAGACTAGCCATTAGTTCTCAGAGTGGCTGTTAGCTCTCAGACTAGCCGTTTGCTTGCAGAGTAGTTGTTAGCTCTCAGACTAGCCATTAGCTCGCAGACTAGCCATTAGTTCTCAGAGTGGCTGTTAGCTCTCAGACTAGCCGTTAGCTCGCAGAGTGGTTGTTAGCTCTCAGACTAGCCATTAGCTCGCAGACTAGCCATTAGTTAGCAGACTAGTTGTTAGCTCTCAAGACAAGCTGTTAGCTCTAAGAGTAGCAGTTAGCTCTCAGACTAGCCGTTAGCTATCAGACTAGCTGTTAGCTCTCAGACCAGCCATTAGCTATCAGACTTGCCAGTAGCTTGTAAATGAATATATATATATATATATATATATATATATATATATATATATATATATATATATATATATATATATATATATGTATATATATATACACACACACACACACACACACACACACACACACACATTTACAACAGAAGCACACTTCACTCTACCTTCATTGACACCTGGAATTTTGGAACCATTTTAATAGGCTGGGTTCTGAGGATTAGGCTCAGCTTTAATGAAAAATGAATGAAATCCAACTTCATTTTGAAAAAGTAAATGCTTTTATGTTATTGCCTGTTTAGGTTATATGAGACCGTCAAAGTAACCACCGTTTGGTTGCTTCTACTCATTTTATGCTTTTCTTTCACATTCTGCTGCAGCTGCAATGGTGAAAATGAATTGATAGTGAATTTGTTCTTCTATTTTTGCATAGTACCCAAAGCTTTGTTGTTTACGTGTTTTTTAATCACATGGACACATGACTGATGGATTCTGTGGACAAATCTTTTATCTTTATGAGCATCTCAGCTAATGCACCGTCTCTTGGACGTTTTCGTAACATGAACACAAACTGGGGCTGGGAAACTGGTCACAACAATCAAACGTTAATAACCCATGATTCCAACTCAACAAGGTGATGCTGGGGGAAGGGTTGCCACTCTGGTATAGAGTACCCCAGACTGGTTTTTGAATACATTCTTAATAAAACACAAGTTCTAGTAGTGCACTGCTACATTTCCTGTAGTTTGGACAACCTATCATAAACAAAGTGCTCAGGACAGGACTGTGTGTTGTTTACAGTGTATTTCATTTGTGCTGAAGTGACATTGAGTCTAAACATGTTCTCCCATCTTATATGCAAAATCTGGGAGTAGACAGGGTGCTGATATCGGTTTTACCTGTAGAATGAGTGTGCTTGGTTTCCCCACCAGCTGGAGCTCTCATTCTCTATAAAATAATAATTCAGATCTACAGAAAGCAGAAGGTTCTGCCATGTAACACCTCCTGTCCCTGTCAGTGGTTAAACCCCCCAGCTGGACATTGGTAAGCAGCTGTGGCTCAGTGGCGTGATGCTAAGGTAAAGGTGCAGGAGACATGAAGCTCTGAGGAGGGATGAGAGTAAAAAGGCATGTTAATGAGTCCACATTAGGTGATGTTTGGAAGGACAGACAGGGGTTTTCCTCTCTTGGTTGCAGAATGCTTCCTGTTGTGGGGTGTTTCTGCACCTGCGTGTGTGTAGAAGTGTGTGATTCATTCTCAGTTGCTCAGACCACCGTGGCAGGTCTGCGGTCCATCTCCTCCTCCAACTTCACCATCTGCTGTATGTCCTTGGCCTTTGAGGAGATGGAAAACAGGCCATCAGGCACAAAAACAAGAGCAAGAGTCTAAAGAGGAGTCCTACATCTTTTCAAATGTTCTGCTTAAAAGTTCTGTTTGAGGTTTTCAGCTGATCACATTCATCAGATTGCCACGACACGTTTATCTCATGCTCAGTTGAAGAGATCATCGGCACAAAACGTGGGCAGATGGGCGCTGTCGCATGCTATGAATGTAAATGATTGTGAGCTGGAGTGAAAACACAGTGTGAGCTGGCTGTTTTTGCTTAGTAACGGATGGTGATGAATGAACCAAGATGCTAGCTGGCTCAAGCGACACCCCCACGAGCTGCAGACTGAAAATGCAGAAGTAATCCACGAGAAGAACACAAAGAACAACTTCTGTGATAGAAAACCGTGCAGTCTCTCTTCAATAACCCTACGGTGTGATGATTTATGGATTCAATTAACTCGGTTGCATCCAGTCACACGAAGACAAACTCAGGTGATAAAGTGAGGAGCAACGGGTAAAAGAGGAAACCACACAGAGAAACAAGACTGAGACACAAAGCTGGTGTCAGAGGTAGAGTTGACGAAGATGGAGATGCCTACCTTGAACCTGTTTGTTTGCATGGTGTGATTTCAAAAGCTGTGCCGGAAGAAGCAAATCATATTAAAAACAAAGGCAAATGTGCATACATGTTAGACATGTACTGGTATTGTGACAGATGGTTAAAAAGAAAAGGCAAAAATGGCGACAAGTCTTCACAGACAAGCCTGACGACCAATAGGATTTAAGGGCAAAAAACCCTGAGAGAAACCTATGAATTTAGGGGTAAAAAGGTGAATAATCTCATTTATCTTCATTTTGAGTTTACATTATGTAATTTTTGAGTTTCCTCCACAAAAGAATTCAAAAACCAGAGCCAGGATCTCACAAGACTGCAGCACAGTCGTTCTCACAACGTCTTAAAATGCTTGTGAGGGTTTTACATTTTCATGTTGCTGCAATTTTGAAGCTGCCAGAAACATTTACATGGTTTTTCCCCTTCTCAAAATGGTCACAGAGTCCTGAGATGCCATTGGAACCATTGCAGATTAGTTTTTGTAAGTTTAAATGTGCAAAAATTGTGAGACAACCCTTTGAGAGAGGGCTGGTGACCAAACTGAATAAAACAAGAATAAAGGGGGGAAAAATGAGGTAGAAACAAAAACAGTTTGACCAAATTGTTACAAAAAATTTCATTGATTGACTCACGACACACTGATGTTAGATTCATTCATTCGCCTTGACTACAAGAAAAAGTTGCAAAAGTCTCGTACCTCGTAACAAATGAGTGAGATTTGCATAAATTTGTCTGCAATAATCTCAGCCCAGTGAGGTACTGGAATAACGTACTTTACAGTAGCTAAAATAGATCGCTGCAATGCATTCTGGGAGGTAGCCTAGACAAACAGCGTGCATTTTGCATGGAAACCTATGGATCTGAGTCGCTCTGCTTGTCACAAAGTAGCAATTTTGTCTCCTAAAGATGTTCAAACAGGAAGGAACTAAGCACTGTTGTTGGGGGAGGGGCTAATCTGACTAGTTATCCAGATCAACATTCTTTTGATCCCTTTTCCAAAGCTGGGTCAGGTCAGCGGCAACATGGCAGCTGCAAAGGGAACGGGTCAAGCTAACGACAGACAAAGCTAAGCGTACTTATGTGGACGACCACAATAAGGAGCAGGTAAAAGGTAGCACACATATTTATTCCATACCTTTTGTACTTTGAGGAAATGTTACTGGAGCACTGTGAGTACTGAGTAACAGTTTGAGCACAAGTGCTCTGTCTGTGTTTTTTTTAACTGCCAATCGTCTAGCACTAGCACCCTGCAGCTCCTATGACGCCAGCTGTAAAGTAAGCTATGAACGTCTTACCTTCTGCACACAACTGTGGTAGGAGACATCTAAGAAGAGCTGTGTCTTTTATTCAGCACTTATACAGGGTATCTGCAGGTTTAAGGGAGCCAAATTTAAGACTTTTTAAGACCTTTTTTAAGTCCACTTTGACCAAATTTAATCAATTTTTTAAAATTAAATTTACGCTATAATTTCCAGCTATTGCCTGGAACCGGTGCTAACCACGTCGCAAACGTGGGGTTAGCCATCCAGTTACCATTAAACTTGCACTTCCCCATGGCGCAAGCTCCCACTAGCTTAACCAGCTAATGTGCTCATCTAAAAATAGTCCCCTTTCACAACCAACTGAATGTGTACGGTTCCGCTTATGCCAACCATCATACACAAAAAATGCTGAACACTAACTAGAAATTCAAGAAAATTTTATAGAAATAAAAGAATCTTTTTTATTGGGTCTTTGGTAATTTAAGACCTTTGGGAACTGTATTTAAGGATTATTTGTCATTTTTAAGGATTTTCAAGGCCTTAAATTTGGAAAAGCAAATGACTTTTTAAGGACCCGCGGATACCCTGTTATAGAAACTCTTGTCTGTGAAGCTGTTGTCCTGTTGATGTTTTACCTGCTCATTGTGCTTGTCCAGTTTCTCCAACTGCTCTCTCTGGTTCTTCTCTAGCTGCTCCATCTCCTTCTGATGCTTCATGGCCAGCTGCAAACCAGGTCCGAACATGAACTCCTTTCAGTTTCCGATAAAAGTGTTTTTATTTGATCTCTTTACACAAACACAGCTGGACCTACCCTCTTCCTCTCATCTAAGAACTTCTTGGTGTTGCTGCTGTTTAACTCTCGCACCCTCCTGAAAAGAAAGAAAATGATCTTTTAGATAGAGCCTCTCAAGATAAAAAACCCGAGGCGCTTCACGAGAGCAAAACGTTCAAAATCTACAAAATATTTGAAAAGATAATAAAAAAATGGTTAGAATGAGAAAAATAAATCGTGATTAAAAATGTAAGGAATGGGAAAGAGGGAAACCAGGCGGGAAAGTTGGAGCTGGTAGAAAGAGCAGAATAAGGAGAGGGTGGTGATGAAGGTCACGCTAAAACCAGCTTGAACAGGTGAGTTTCAGCTGCTTTTTAAAGGAGACCACTGAGTCCACTGATCTCATGGGGAGAGAGGTCCAGGGTCTGGGGGTCACAGCAGCAAATGATCTGCCACCTTTAGTCTAGCCTGGTGCTGCACAACCAGTAGGCTTTGGTCCAAAAGGACATGATGATGAAGTTCTGCCCTCCCACTGCCTGTGACTAACTCCGTTGGCTGGGACCCACCTCTCTCGCTCTGCCTTGTTTTTGATGGTCTTATCCTGGCTGATGGCTTTACTGTTTTCCATGGACATCTTTGCTTGGTTAGCACGCATCTCTTTGCTCTGCCTGGAACACAAACCAGGAAACTTTATCCGACTTTGAATAAAACAACATTTATATATTTCACGAATCCTTATGGCAACGCGAGCCGCTAGTGAATCGGTGTGAGGTTTGTGAGGGTTTCACCTTTCATGGATGACTTTGAGCTGCACAGTCTGCTGCTCCTGGACGGTGGTGAGGAGCTTCTTGAGATGCTCACACTGCTGGGTGACATGAGTGTCCTTCATCTCCTGCTCCTCACTGCTGTGACTACTGATCAGCTCTGACCACTCTTTAGTGTGTTGTGCTGTGATGTCCTTTACCTACAAGCACACACAGTCTTTGTTTCAGCTGTGTGAATCCCTGCTGCCTGTTTTTTAGGAGGCATGGTGTTTTTTTAGTACCTTAGCCTTCTGATCAGTGGCTAGTGTTTGGATCTTATCTTCTGTCTCCTTTTTCAGCTCCTGGCAGTTGTTCTCACTGTCAATAAAAACACACAGAAGTGAACGGATCATACAGACACTGGAAGATCTGGTCTTGAGATGGAAATAGTAAACAAAACCCATGTTTCATTTATTCCAGCATACACAGGATTAGCAATAGCGATTTGATAATTGAAAACAGTGATTGCTTTTTTTTTTTTTTACTGGTAACTTGTAGATTAGACTTTTATTAGACATCAAGTGAAATTCTGATTCAAAGTTGATGCAGTGGAAGATGAACCAGTTTCTCATTGAGACTGTTGTTGAACTGCTGGAAACACATAATTGTGAGTATTGATGAGAACAGGTTTGAGTACTGGAAGGTTTTTATTCAAAACCGGTGCAAATTCAATACTTTGAAAATGATATTGGTTGTTTAAAGGTGTGGGAACTCGTTTAATCAACACGTTTGCAGTTTTCTCTGGAAGGAATGAGTGCCTTGCTATCCGTACTTGGGGCAAAAAAAAAAAAAGCACACAAGTGCTTCGATCAGCACGGACAAGTCTGCTGCAGCAGAGGGCAGCACAACACGACAGGAATTGGAGTCTTATTAGATAACAATACGAATGGAAAATGGAATGGAAAATACGAATAATCAATCTAATTCCTCTGCGTGTGTCATCCTTTAAGGTAATATGGTATATATAAAAAATTACCTATCATTTGGTGCCGAAACCCGGGACGGCAGAGCCGTCGGTGGGAAGCTGTCTTTGGGGAGCCGTGCAGGCGCCACTTACCTCATCAAAGCCCGGGGAACTCAAATTGTTTCACCGGCCAGCTTTTTTAGCCCCGCAGGTAGATTCCCATTTATGCTCTTGCCTTCCTGAACTCAGGACGAATTTACCACGCAGAGGAGAGTAAGTACCTCATTATTTTGCACCTTTTTCCTTAACTGCTGGCAGTGTGTTTTTAAGCTGATTGTGGTGACTGCCATTTATGCACGAAAAGACGTTTTTGTGTCCAGCTAGGGGTTGCACATGTGAACCGTAAGGGTTGCACTGGAACGTGAACCGTGGCTGTAGTCCTGGCCTTGGATTTAGGAGGTTGTAATTAGTCTGTGCCTGCGCAAACAGGCGTCCCGCAGTGCTGTGGGTGGTAATTACAGGTGAATGTGTAGTGGCACCTAAAACCGTTACTGAACCAGCGCTGCGTTAATGCGGCCAACCGCAGTTTGGCATAGGCACATACTCCTTTTGCAGCTGCCGACAGGAAGGATTTGACAGATTCTGTTTAACTCTGTCTGCATGGAAGTGCATTGGGATGTTCTCTCAGCGAGTCTCGGTCTGCGCATCCAACTCGTCTTGGGTTTATTGAACATGTATGTGAAATGTATACTGGCTTGGATAGATGATGGCAACCTGCCTGCGGCACTGCAATGAGAAGTGTTGTGTAGCCACGTTAAAGCGGATAAGCAAATATATACACGCAGCACAGAATCCATGTGCTGGTGTCGAGAGGAGAGGCTTGTTGCTAAAAATCACACTGCCGCTGGGATTGTTTAAATATTTTATGGTGCGTCGAAGGTACACTAAAATAAATCACTGCTACATTTGGCCAAAGAATCCTAAGTCGGTCTAAATTCGGCCTTGCTGTGTGTTATTCGTAATTTGTTGTGCATCTGGTATCGGGGCTGCGTCCCATTTCTGATCGGGTTTGCTACTTCTGGTTAAGCAGATTTTTGTGGTCCTGTGAATTGTTGCTGGTATCTAAAACATTGGTGTCGGTTGTCCCAGTGTGGACGTCACATTTCTGTGTTGTATTGTGGTTTTAAATCTGTGCTGAAGTGTTAAAAACCCAGCTATGAACTGTGTTTCAGCTGCCGTCCTATTGTGTCTGTGTGTGTGTGTGAAAAAAAAAATGCAGGTATTTGTGTGTGTGTGTGAGAAAGTTTGGCTGAAGAAAGGAAAAAGGCAAGTGTGAGATTTTTTGGCTAAAGTTTGGAGGTTTTTGAGCCTGTTTCTGGTAAGGGAGTGTGTGTGGAGGTGTGCGTGAATCGGGTACTTTGAGTGTTACATCGTATGTGTGTGTGTGTCCCCGGCCAAAAGCTCTGAGTGTGTGGAAGACAGAAACGGATGAGTGAGTGAGTGCCTGACGTTTTTTTTTAATATTTCATGCTGCAGAAAATTAATTATCATTATAATTGGCTGAAGGAACTCAACCCGTTCTAAATTCGACCCGTTTAGTCGTTTTGTGAGTTTTATATCTGTGGTTTGTGGGCCGCGTCCCATTTCGGTTGTGTGGTGTCTTGTTTAACCTCCGTGATTCTGTGGTGTTGTTTATTGTTCAAGTTGTGATTGGATACTGGCTTATTTTCTGCATTGTGGTTATCGTGTTCTATGTCGCGTTGTGGTTTAAATCTGTGACGGGTTTTAAGTTAATCTGTCTGTGTGGCTGGTTCTGGTACGTGTGTGAAAAGGGGCGTGTATCTGGGACTTTGAATCTCTCATGTCTGTCTTTATGAGACAACTTGTCTAACTAGCAATGAACGAATCACAACTGATGTGACTAACATTAGATTGGTTTTATGTTTCTTCATGGTGGCCACCTTAATCCATTGAGTTTGTTTACTTTTTTCCTTTAGTCATGGATCGCCTTTAAGCACTTCCAGGCTTTTCCAAGCATTTGGTATTTGGTTTTAATGTTCCTCATACGCTTTATTATTCTTTAGATGGATCCATCATTCTATTCTATGTGTTGAGATATAAATTAATTAGCTGTTTTCCTACTGGGTGCTTGGGTTAGCAGTATTCTTTTGCTTGGGGGGTTCATTGCTGTAAACATTATCTATTCCCTTTTGAGATGTAAATACCGACTCAGCCCATGCAGACTATAAATGATAATCGGAGCTCCAAAGCCAAATAGTTGTTAACTTTATTTCATCTTACTTAACAGTTCGGCTGTTTTGTAACAACTTTATTGTCTTTCTTTAATTTCCCCAGATTGACTTGTGGAATAAGAAGTGTTTTAGTCTTTTGATCTTTGCTATCTCCTCTAGGGTGGGCGAGGCCTATTTTCCATCATATTCCTTTAACATTTGAGCTGATATTCTATTGGTTATTATTGTTTTTTGTTTGGGTCATAAGGTTTGCTGTTGTTTGGATCGCTAAGGGTTTAAATAGAAAAGTTTGGCTGCACTGCAAACCTTTGTGACTTCCTTTTGTTTTAAGTTAGTGTTTTTTTTTTTTTTGTAAGTGCCAGTTCCTGTATATTGTTCCCACATGTGTGCTGGTTTCTGGTGAATTCCTACCTCCACAGGGGGGTGATGATGGGACTGATAATGTGTGTGCCCCTCTGCTCTGGAAGGAATTACTCTAAATAATGACTTGACTGAGTAACATCTGGTGGTTTTAAGCGAAGGTTCATCATTATTTTATTTAAATGACCTCTTTTAAGTGTCCCTTTGATCACCCTCCTATTGTTTTGTAACGCCCTCTTGTTAAGAAGGACCTCTTTGATCACGGTTATCTGACTCCCGGAGACAAGCTGGTTTTGAAGAATTTGTGTGTGTGTGTCCTCAATAAAAGGAGCTCCAAGGCAAATGAGTCTTGTCAACAATAAGGGGTTATTTTTGTTTGTAATGAATTATGGCAGACCTTACGGACCTCTTTCATGCTAACCAGACATCAATTTTGGGAGCAAATGATCTGCTCTGTTCAACCTGCGTTTTATGAACAGCAATAGCTGTTAAAGATGGGGATTCATGAAGGTGATCACAAAACAAACTGAACAAGTCCCGGGGGGTTGGGGCATCTTTCAGGCCCTAGTGACTGCCCCCTGCAGTAAAGATTGCTGAACACCCCTGGCAAATTCATCTGTCACTTTGAAAAGTACTGACGGAACTTGATTAACAGGTGACAAAGACAACATGATTATGGCTAACCTGCAGTGGTTTCTGGTGGTGGTGTACTCTCTGTTTATGATCCTAGAAAGCATACCTGGGCGCACCAAAAGACACGGAAAACAAGGAACTATGCACCCCCATCGACCTCCGTTCACCTCCCAGCAACCAGGAAAGTACTTGGTTCCAACGCAAGTTGTTATGAGTGCAACTTCATGCTCTGCTACCCACATTGACTGCAAATGACCCCGAATGACACTGTGTGCAGCGTTCATGCTCTCCGTATGCAGGAATGGCTCAGACTCAGGAGAAAAGTGGCGATGTAAAGACTTCAGAAGGGGAAGATCACCCAACTACCAAAACCAGCAGGGGGAGTCTGAGTTCCCCTGTGCCGGCAGCTGTGAAAGTTCACAAGGAGGTGGAGATCGCTGACCTGCAGTCCAAGATGGAGGGGACCAGAAGGACATGACTGAGCTGATGTAAAACCACAAACCTGCTGTGGATCACTTGGCTCAGAAGTTGACACAAAACGATACCAACCAGCATCTCCATCATACAGCAACAAGCTCCTCCATCCTGCATTGACACGCCAGCAGGACGACGCAGGAGCTGAGAACACAGACTGTGACCAAGACCCACTGCATCACACCTGGGCTGGAGATGAGGTGCGGAGGTCAGACATCAGGGGGGGACCCAGCTTCTAAGGGAACACCACAGGTCATGTAACATCTGTGTCTAAAACAAGCTCATGGAGGAAGGCATGGACGATGATTTCCAGAGCCACAGCTCAGCTAGCTCACTGACACGGAGACGCAAACATCTGTGACAACGAAGTTGAAACCTGTTCAGTTCTACAAGAAAGGGGAAGTGACAGAAGTGATGGTGCAATCCCTGGAGGAATTTGCTGGTGTCCACATCCTCACCTTAAAATTTAATCATTTTCTGTGTTTTATGACATGCATTTTTCATGCATTAGGTCCATGGTGGGTTCAATGATCATTAATTCTATCTGTTTTTGATGACTACTGGTGTGGGTTAGCTTAATAAAGTGAAGAACTCAAGATACTAGATGGGTTTTGGTGTCTGGTTTATTGTTGAGCTAAACTCCTCGTGTTGATTGAACATTCCAAATTCCAGGTTAGTAGGGTGTGTCATAATTCCTACTCGGGTTTTTATTGACATGGCAATGAGTTTTATTTTTATCGTTTCATCTTTTCTTGCTCAAAAAGTTACATTCAGGCATTTTATGAACAGCAATAGCTGTTAAAGATGGGGATTCATGAAGGTGATCACAAAACAAACTGAACAAGTCCCGGGGGGTTGGGGCATCTTTCAGGCCCTAGTGGGTATTTTCTATATGTTCCTTTTTGAGTCTTAAAGAACATCTGCTCCTGTAAGCTCATTGTTATCTCTGTTATCTCTGGAATGCGGTGTCCTGGGAGATGAGGAGCCTGTAAGTCTGTAACTTGAGAAGGCCCGCCTTCTCTGTCCTGGTTGTCAATAAAACCCCTGTGAAACTGAGGAGTGGGGGAGAGACGTGGGGGCAGCTCCGGAGGGGGTTGACCCAGCGTCGTCTCTCCGCTGTGTGGCAACACAGTGTAAAATGAAATCCTCTTTGTGTATGTGTGTTTATTTCAGGTTAAAGGGTCATGGAAAATACGAATAATCAATCTAATTCCTCTGCGTGTGTCATCCTTTAAGGTAATATGGGATATATAAAAAAATTACCTATCACAAACCTTTGATGTTTTCGGCGTTGCTGTTAACAAGAGGCAACATGTGTGTGAGTGAGACCCCAGTCACGTGATGTGCAGCAGTGACAGCGGCTCATTAGCAGCCACAATTTTCTCAGGCAAAATAGCAAAATTTAAGAAAAAGATGTTGATTTTGGTGGCAGCATCTATTGAATCTCTATGGTCTGTATTAAAGAGGTGCAAAGTTTGTGTACCCAGCTCTAGCTGCAAATCATCTTCGTCTTCGTCTTCCTCCGCTTATCCGGGTCCGGGTCGCGGGGGCAGCATCCCAACTAGGGAGCTCCAGGCCGTCCTCTCCCCGGCCTTGTCCACCAGCTCCTCCGGCAGGACCCCAAGGCGTTCCCGGACCAGATTGGAGATGTAACCTCTCCAACGTGTCCTGGGTCGACCCCGGGGGCCTCCTGCCAGCAGGACATGCCCGAAACACCTCCCCGGGGAGGCGTCCAGGAGGCATCCTGACCAGATGCCCAAACCACCTCAACTGACTCCATTCGATCCGGAGGAGCAGCCGTTCTACTCCGAGTCCCTCCCGAATGTCCGAGCTCCTCACCCTATCTCTAAGGCTGAGCCCGGCCACCCTACGGAGGAAACTCATTTCGGCCGCTTGTATCCGCGATCTCGTTCTTTCGGTCATTACCCAAAGCTCATGACCATAGGTGAGGATTGGGACGTAGATCGACCGGTAAATCGAGAGCCTGGCTTTCTGGCTCAGCTCCCTCTTCCCCACGACAGATCGGCTCAGCGTCCGCATCACTGCAGACGCCGAACCAATCCGCCTGTTGATCTTCCGATCCCTCCTACCCTCACTCGTGAACAAGACCCCGAGATACTTAAACTCCTCCACTTGAGGTAGGACCTCTCCCCCGACCCGGAGGTGGCAAGCCACCCTTTTCCGGTCGAGAACCATGGTCTCAGATTTGGAGGTGCTGATCCTCATCCCAGCCGCTTCACATTCGGCCGCGAACCTACCCAGCAAGAGCTGAAGGTCAGAGCTGGATGAAGCTAGGAGGCACCTGTAGACAGCCCTACAACATCCATAGCCTTGAGATACCCAGGACGAACCTCATCCGCCCCCGGGGCTCCGCCGCTGTGTAGTTGTTTGACTACCTCAGCAACTTCTGCCCCCGAGATCGGACAGTCCATCCCCAGGCCTCCCAGCTCTGGTTCCTCCTCGGAATGCGCATTGGTGGGATTGAGGAGCTCCTCAAAGTATTCCTTCCACCGTCCGACTATAGCCTCAGTTGACGTCAGCAGCTCCCCATCCCCACTGTAAACAGTGTGAGCGAGTTGCTGCCTTCCTCTCCTGAGGCGCCGGACAGTTTGCCAGAACCTCTTTGGAGCCGATCGATAGTCTTTCTCCATGGCCTCACCAAACTCCTCCCACGCCCGAGATTTTGCCTCGGCAACTGCCACTGCTGCACCCCGCTTGGCTATCCGCTGCAAATCATATTAGAATCAAAATGCATTGGTACATACTCTACTCTTAACAGATTTTATATACGAGCAGATCACCAGGAGCACATGACCTTAAGGCAACAGTCATGCTAATTTTGTAGTTGTCAGTTGGTCACAACCCTTCCCGACAGTGTTGCCAGATGTACGATAATTATCGTATTTGTACCATAATTTTGGGCTCTGTACGATGTACGATCAATAGTTCCAAAAATCCTCAAATGTACGATAATTTCACATTGCATCTAGTAACACAGGTGATTAAAGGCATTCTGCTGCGACAGACAGTGAATCAGATGAGGAGATCGAGATCAGCAACTAGGTGAGTAGGCTTCTTTGTCATTTATTGGGTCAGTTTTTCCACTGCTGTGATGTTTTGTCGCGTGCGTTTAACCTATGTAGAAATGACATAAATAGGACTGCGCAAATGTGCATGTTGCGTCAATGCGTGGAGGTCGGAGTGGTGCCGACACACTCTGCATGTTTATAGGCATTATATTACTGGTTTTAAAGATGTTTAATTAAACAGGGCAATATAAAACACCTTCTTTGTTATATTATATTGGGATGAGAAGTCGTTTATAGAACGCTATTATCAAATTTATAATGTACGATAATTTGTACTGAAAAACGATCATTTAGGCCTCTCTGTACGATATTGTGGGATTTTGGATCTGGCAACACTGCTTCCCGACGTTCTCTTGTGCGTCCTGAATGACTAAACTGAGGTTGCAGATGAGTACAAAAATCAGACAGTTTTGTTACTGTTCTTACAAAAAAATAACAAACATGTTAAAAATTCAGGCGACACAAGAGCCGAGGCCCCTGCAGCTCGTGAGGAGAATCAGAACTCCTGGGAAGTGTTTTAAATTTGCTGCCAACAGTCAGAGCCCAGTGAGGTACTGGTTTAGGTACAAGTATTCTGTTTGTTGTGAGGCAAGAATCGCTCCTCATTTAAGGAGAGATTACAGATTTCAGACAACTTGAATGGAGTGTACTCATAAATATACCGGCCAATCTAACAGTCACTGCAGTTAAAACTAGTAAAAACAACCAAGAAAGGTAAATTAAGCAAGATGTTGCTGATCTGATTTAAAATGTACTCTCATTGAAATGGATTACAACTTCATACTGGTTTGCATGTAAAAAAGGGCCCAGAACACCTGATAGGTGTGTGGAATAATAACCTCCGTAACGCCACAAAAATGGTGGCCTGACAAATCAAAAGTGGAAGATGAAATGTTGACTCTCCAGAATTCCATCCAACTGAGCATCTGTGGGGTCTGCTGAACAAATGCATCTAATCTGTGGAGCCTCCAACTCACAGTGTCCAGGGCTTAAAGGATCTGCCACTGGTGGCTTGGCGCCAGATAAAACAGCAGGCCTTAACACTACAGTGGAGCCCACGCCCTGATGGATCAGGGCTGCTTGGAGCTAAAACAAGGACCTGATGATGGTAGAGGGCTTCATTAGGGTCTTACATGTATGGGTGGTTATGTTAATGTGCAGGAACTGTATTTCTTCATAATGCTGCAGCAGCTGGATTCAGAATAAAGTCCCACGTAGTCGTCTAGAGTGTGGTCATAATGTCCATGCTGGGGTTTCTCACTTACCCTCGTTTCTTGATTGCTTTCTCTAGAAGCTTCTCCAGAGTTGTCTTCTCCTTCTCATGCAGGGACACCATCTTGTCCACCTGGGTGCAATGGGCTTTCTGCATGGCGTTTTGATCCTGTTGGGTGGATACCATCATCATCATCATCATCATCAACAAAAGCACCCCTTTTATCTGCTCATGTGTAGAAAAGATCCTTACATCTAGACTGTATCCGATCAAAAAGCAGAGTTTGAAATAAGCAAAGTGATCGACAGTAACTCACAGCTACAGCTAATAATTCAAATAAATGCACATTAGTTAGAAATGAGCCAAGTGCCATCTTTATTGAACAGATGTGTCTGGATTGTGTTGATTTACAGATGCTGTGTAATAATTAATGTTATCATTAATGAGGTATCCGGTGTGGTCTCCGCGGTGGGGTCTGGTCAAAGCAGGACTTTAGCAAGTCTAATTGCTTACTAAACATTCACGCTGAGGCTGTTTGTAACGGACAGATTGTGTTGATGGCTAAAGCAGCGGCCAGCGGAAGATGAAAGGCTGCATTGTCCCTCCTGTTCTTTTTCCTGGTCTCATGAGCATCAATGACCATCAGAAAGGAGACTGCATTAGCACACACCCCACCCCCCCATCCCACACACACACACACACACACTTACCTTTGAGTGTTTCTTTTTCAGAGTGTTGAGTTCCTTCTGTTGCTTTTTGATCAGTTTAAGGTAGGTCTGCAGTGGGAGAGACAGATGATTGGTTTATTGGGCGACGGTGGCACAGAAGTTAAGAGCTCGCCCCTTAATCGGAAGGTTGCAGGTTCGAGCCCCGCTCAGTCTGTCGCTGTCGTTGTGTCCTTGGGCAAGACACTTAACCCACGTTGCCTGCTGCTGGTGGTCGGAGGGACCGGTGGCGCCAGTGCTCGGCAACCTCGCCTCTGTCAGCGCGCCCCAGGGCAGCTGTGGCTACATCGTAGCTCATCCCCACCAGTGTGTGAATGGGTGAATGACTGATTGTGTTGTAAAGCACCTTGAGGGGTTCCAGGACTCTAGAAGGTGCTATATCAAATACAGGCCATTTAACATTTATTGTTTTTTAGGAGGATTAGAAAAAAACAACCTAAAATTCAGCTGTTGTCCATAGCAACGACAGGAGGTAATTCTACATTCACACACTTTCCTGCTATTGGCTAAAATGACTAATCATTTTCGTAGTGTTACGCAGTTAAAGCTGCAATGGCAAATTCGGAAAACAAATGACATTTTTATGCCTCTTAACAGCGTTCTAACATAGTAAGCAACCAATGGACCATCCGGTTGTCGGTCCCGCCAAACCACCACACGTCGCTGGGCCCTCCACTCATCACGCGCTCACGTATTTAGCAACAGAACACCACTGGAGTGAGAGGTTCTCCGCTCTATAATATCAGAGGAGAAACAGCCGGCTGCTACCACTTCAACTTTAGGACAAACTACCAGAGTCCCAAAAAGAAAAACACCATTTGAAGTCACGGACAACAAAAGACGTTTGGACCACGACTGGTGTTTAGCGTTATTTCGTTCCGTCTGGTAATGCAAGTCTCCAGTTCCGGAAGAAGCGTCTCAGGGAAGACACGCGGGTGGAGTTTTCCATGACCGTGTT